GTTCCTGAATGTATTTACTGTGGATAGACTGTTTATATAGCAGAGGTTTTATTTGTTTTCATATGTAAGTGATGAAATGTAATTTGCTTAATTCAGGTTTTTGCCTTGTCTTCACACCTTGCTATTTTATTTCCTGGGCATCAAGTCAAATGCAGCTAGGTGGCTAACAGTTAGGTAATTCTATTCACTTGTGGTAAATGATGGATAAATATGCCTTGTGCTTCTCTTCAGCCAGGGGTCAATCCCATAGCACTTGGCAAAAAGGTTACAAATTATGCCCTTGCTATTTGTACAGGGCTACCCTGAAAGCCCTATACATCAATTTGCTCCCCCGCTGACAACTACTATTGTTTCAAACCAGAGGAATTCAGGACTAAAGGTGTTTGAAAATTCATCATAGTAAGGCATAGGTAAGGCTAACCTTGGGAGGAAATGTTCCTGCCTTCCAGGTGCAATTTGTGGAAAATTACAGACTTCTCAGGTAGGTCTGAGGTAGTTCAGTTTTAATTACGGAAACTGACCCTAAATTTGAACTACATATTTAATTTCCAGCCAGTGCATTTATTCTTGAAGATGTACCTAACGACTTTATATTCTGATTTAATATCCACTGTCCGAAAGAAGCATTACAAATTCAAAGGTATTATTCACTTTCCATATTTCAAGGGTTAGATGTATCTACAGGTACATAAAATTAATCATGCATCATATAGTACATGATCAGACTGCATTAAGCTCCCACATTTGGCTAGATGTTGTGTCTGGAAAAAAAGAAAAAAAAAGAAAGAAGAAGCAGATGTTAAGGAAGGGAGATGCTTTCATTTTAATGTAAAGGAGTGAAGCAACAGAGAGTATGATCGAACTAATGACAAGCTCGGTGGAGAGAAACAGTGTGAGGGATTGAATTAACTTTAAGGAGAGAAGCTAATGAGTCCGTGGCGACTGAGAAAAACACTCACGTAGGCTGGCTCATCTCATTAATTGTTTAAACCTGCTAACACATTTAACACTTTCTAGAGCTGCCTCCAAGCCCTTTGAGTCCTGGAGGAAAACCAGTAGACACACAGGACCTGGTATTGTGCTCAGGAGGAAAGCCTGCACAACTCAATGAGAGCTAGTCATTGTGGATGATATGAGAGACCTTTAAACAGACCACATGGTATTTAGCATCTGCACTCTATTTTTTCTCTTTTTGCCATCATTTCAGCTCTGTAAAATCTTTTAAAGCTGTGTCAAGGCTGCTCTGTGGCCAGTTGTCTTGGGCCTAAAAACAGAAGCACAAAGTCTAAACACAACACACAAATAAGACGATGAAAGCAAGAAGTTGACAATAGACCAGAGAAAGCAGCTGAAACACTGCAGAAGTTTTAAGCGGCTCACTTTGTTTGTCTTCACACAGACTCTGGCACGGTTGTCATTTCATTTTTCCAGCAGACGAGCTTTGTGTAGTTGACTTTGGTGCATGTTCAGAGATGAGTGTGAAGAGGCAGAGGCGAGACAAGGATATTTTTTCCTTCTCAAAAGAGTCTACTTTCCATCACATGAATGATTGGTCTGAGTACTTGTAACAATGAAAGGCCATTAAATGATAGAGTTAGAAGTGCTTTGTGTTGGAGTGTTGCACTCACATAACATTTACATCACTATCTTATTCAAATAAAGACTTTATTTCTTATTTAACAATGAAAATATGAAGCCTATACAAATTTAAATGAAACTGGACTTAAATTACCATCGAATAAGAGGCATGTAAGCTGATAGTGTGCTTAAATCTGCGCCGTGCTATTCAATAGGTCATAATATTAACAGCTTGCTTGCCATGCTGACATGAAGTTTTTTATTATTTTTCTTTTTCACAGTTTCAAGAGTGGCGATGGCTGTAGCCTTAATGGAATACTTTAAATGAATCAATCAAAAAGCATGACATAACAATTACTACAAGTCTAGGTATATCGCGACCACTATAAGTTGAGGCTGGACCAAGGCCCAGGCCAGGACCAGCAATGGACTCATGGAAACATTAAACAATTTTATAAATCAATCTAATTCCCGAATGGATGAAATATATATTCAGGCTGATCTGAGGAGAACAAATTGGCCCATGGCTATATCTCACTCCTGCTGCAAGTGTTACTGTGCTAAAGAGGGGGTGCGATAACCAAAGGAACCCCTCCAAGCTTGCAGCATTGGTGAACAGGTTTACCCATCAAACCACTTCCTTTGAACATTCAGTGTATCTAGGGGGTAATGGTAAAAGGTCAAGCATGTATTTTAGTGATAGAGTTACTTTTTTACTTTGATTGCCTCATTCAAGTGGGTGTCAGCCATCCTCAACATGTAAAGATTTATCAGCATTTAAAGTGAATCTACCTTGGCAGATAAACTACATAAAAGAATGCAACACTGACTTATTTTAAATAAAGCCCTTCAGCAACACTTGTTTCTGATTTCCTATAAGCTGTTGCTCAATATGCAGAGGGCTGAGGGGATCCTCACACACTTCAGGCAACAGTTGATACAAATCATGAATTTGCAGAGACAAGATGAAAGCTAGGAGACGGCATCCTCATTTATGGACACTGATTTCCCACTGCTGTTGTAGGAAGCTTTCTGTCAATGAGAAAATACACCCACTCTCTCTCTTTCCTCTCCTCCTTATATCCAGCTGCCCCTACCCTATGTGATAGAAATCTCTTCAATCTGATTAACTGTTTTTGATTTAGCTCATAGGCAGAACAAGCAAAGCCTATAGCCTATAGAAAACAAGCTTTGTCTTCCCATTAGAGATCTACTCTGCAAGTGAGTGAGACTTTATGTGCTGTGTCTGGCACCTGTCAGTGGGTCTGCAGAAGCAGCAGCTTGGATAAATTAAACATGTTACGCTTCATTTGAGCAACCGGGTTGCTATACCCTCGTGACTTTCAGCATCTCTAAAGTGAAAACCTCCAATAAAACACAGCAAGCTTAAACTGAAAAAAGCTAGAACCAAGAAAATTGGCTTATCCCACTATGTCTATGCCATGGTCCATCCATCCATCCATCCATCCATCCATTATCACCCACTTATCGGGGTCGCAGTGGCAAGGTCTACTATCTTTACTGAGTCAAATATGATTCCACTTTAGATAATCAATGAATGAACCGTTGATAAAATACAGTGCTTTGACAAATACAAATGTTATCATGTTTCTGAGCAACACACCTTTTCCACAAGGAACCCTACATTTTCTTGGCTCTTCTGACTGGTGTTAAATTTGTTCTTCTGAGGAGCCAAGGGAAACAGGATTACACATTTATTTGTTTGTCTATCTTTTCTGACCTAGACCAAACAAAGCCAGACAGACGGGTGATTAAGTTGTTTGCTTTCCCATTCACTGACATGAATGAATATAGAGGCAACTGCTCAAAAAAGATGGAATCTTATTATGTGCCATTTGTATGGTTTCTGTGTGACAGAAGAGAAGAGATGAAACACATTTAGAAGGATAATTGCTTTGGTCAATAACGGCGGGTTGCCTGTTTTACATTCCATTATGGGGAGGACGGGCTCTAGGCCGTTTCATCAAGGAGAGATAAATAAAAGGACGGTGGAGCCAGAAGAGACCCATATCCCAGGTAAATGAGTGCTTTATGAGGGAGATTAGTGCAAATCCCTCACACACAGAGCATCGGCACATGTGGGGCGAGGGAGGCTTTCGGATGCAGGCTTGGCTACCTCCATCTCACACATTCCCCCGGCAATCGATCAAAGCCCCAAATCACAGCTGCATACACAGAGAGGAAGGAGTAGGTGAGACAGTATGACAGCCTGGATTGGAGGCTATTGCATTGACAAATGGCAGCTTCATCTGACACAGAGCCACCCGATCATGCTCTTTGGATACAAATATGCACATAAGGTGCATGCATATGTACACACACACACACACACACACACACACACACACACACACACACACACACACACACACACACATTTTCTAAGACACACAATCACCCACAACACAGTGCCCAGAGCACATATAGCAGGGAAGTGAAGCATCTGTGCAACACTATTCTGATTGTATAAACAAGCTCTGGATTCTATCTTCAGTGAGAGCTACTCATTAAACTCTATTAACCTGCAGTACTAATATCTGCAGGGAGAACCAAGTGAGACAAACACACACCTGCTCCATTTAGGGGAATGCATTTCTCATTCCCTCAATGAACATATAGCTCCACCCCAAGCAGCAGTCAGCACTCACTATTACATAAACACATATTCGTACGAACACTACACAGTCATCAACTAAACACAGATGGCAAATTCTCAAAACTCATAGCAAAGAGCCATGAGAAGAAAAGAGAGGGATTCTAAAGAGAGCTGAGAGGTGGGTGCAGGTGATGGAGAGGCCAGAAGAAGATGAAAAAGGAAGAGAAAAAGAGGAGCACGACAGTTTCACCTGACCCGCTTGAGTGCTGCGTGTCTGCTCTATGCATCAGTGATTCATGTACTGCTGTAGCACAGGTATACCACAGTAAAGACAACCTGTGTAGGGAGCAGACTACTCATTAATGGAGCCCCATGTCACGCCTGTATGCCAAACACCATCTGTATTCATTCACTAAGACACACACATATACACGCACACCTCCAAGTTACCCTGGGAGAGTAGAACAAATAAACACCAAGAAAAACTAGAATTTATTTATCTTTAATTTAAAATACAATCAAAATGACAATCCAGTACGTCTGACAAAACATCTCCTATATTCAACCTGCCCCAAGAGCCATCAGCTGAGCGACTGGACTCTATTACACTACAACATAACAATCCCAACAGGGAAAGAATTAATATGTATTGCATTACCAAAGCAACATTCACTGTAGTACAGAAACAATCCCAACAGTGTAATCCACGCCACTTGAGTGCAGAAGCATTTACCATAGTGGAATACAGAATGAAGTGGAGCAAAAATAAGTGAGGTGCGTAGGTGGGCAGCTGTTTGGTACATACCATTGGGACTCTCCTCATCAATGGTCACTATGGTTGCAGGGGGCCCTGGTCTGGACAGCTTACACTCTGTATATGCAAAAAGAAAAATCTAATTAACATAAAAGAAACTCAATTCATGTATGCTATATTTACTATAAATCATTTACTTTGATATCCCTTTAGTATATTGTGCTTCATGGCAGCATTTACATGGCATTACATTTTAGACAAAGCATATCCTCAGCTTACTGTTATTAAATCAACCTTTTCCCAACCGTTTCCCAACCTTTTTGGCTTGTGACTACAAAAAACAATTTCTACTTGGGGATCCTTGTCACATTTCCGATGTTTATAAGGTTTTAGCAGTTCCACCAAAGAGACTTTTACCCTTTAAACTTTTCAGATAGTTTTCTTCAAATGATTGTTTGAGTCCCAAAAAGGTAAAATTCTCCAATGTTTCACCAAAAAAAAGCAATACAGAAAGGCCTTGTTTTTTTTTTTTTTTGGTCTTTTCTCATTTTCCCATTAATCCTTTATGTACTCCAGGTTTATTTTATGATCCACAATAGGGTACAATCTTTAGGTTAGGATCCACTTGACCAAAGTACCTAACTTTATAGTATAAGTATTCAAAATTGCTTACAGTGCTTACAGTACTGATGCCTCTGTATTAAAAAAAGGAGGAAAAGGAAAAGGATTTAAGCACATTTTGCTTCTAATACCTCTCCAACTTTTACTTAAATAGAATTTTGAATGAAGGACTGGTACAGTATTGTCTGAATATAGCCGACAGCAATGATAGAACAACACTGTAAAAATCTTGACATTGTAAATATTTCATTGGTCTGAGGAAATAAACCTCAAAATATTGTTACACTGTGTCTTTCTGTCATGCCATAAGCTGTCACATTGACACATCTTTTTATAGCAGGAGGCATCAATGGCTCCTACCACAAAAAACATCAACAGGAATGGACTGTACGATACTGACACCAGACAAACGGGGTGGTCAAAGCATGTGGCAACATCATAAGCAGAAAGCACTGACGAGAGCAGCTTCACAGATGGAGGTCACAGCAGCTAGATGGTACAAGCACATGGGACACAGGTAATGGCAGCTTGACAGACAGTACCAGATGGGGCAGCAGGCGAGGTGGAGAGGAGGAGACAGGAGGAAAGGAGGTGTCAAGTGTAGAGGAATAGGCGCTGCAAGGCAACGCGCTCTGGAGCTGATGTGAGGAAAGTTCAAGATTAAACGTCTTTCAACAGGGAAGAGAGAGAGGGAGAGAGCGAGATGGTGAAAGCGAACATGGGAATGTAATAAAACAAAAGGAAAAGAGACAACAGATGTTTGCCCTCTTACCCTCATACTGCCAGTCTGAAGGGGTCAAGGGTTAGTGGAGCCAGAGGGAAGCAGAGCAGAAGCATGGAAGAAAAGAAAAGCATGAAACAGTTGGTTGAGGAACAGCTCTGATGTTAGGAGAGGAGAAAAATTAATTAATTATAAAAAAAGAACAGATATTAGAAAATTAGGGAAAAGAGAGGCAGTTTCAGGTAAGATATACAGTAGAAGCCTCTACTACGGTGTATGTTAGTGAACCACACACAGTTTTTACAAATATGGCCAGCGGATCTCTTCTTGCTGCCAATAGCTGCCGGCTGACATTATTACACAAGAGAGGTAGTGGGGTGCATTACAAATATGAATCAATTTAAAAACGAAAACAAATTCTCTCGCTAAATTAAGTGGTACCATGTGCTCTGGAAAAGGAAAAACAGCATGAAAGAGCACTGGCCCACATCTACATATGTTATTCAGCATTCTCCTATTTCTCTTTCTTAGCTTTGCCTCCATCTTGTCAGATATTGAATCTCAAGCAGCTTGCCGTCAGGTGGTATCCGCTTACATTACATGTAATCAGAGATGAGCAGAAAAAAAAGACACATGGTCAGTGACACCACATCAATAGTCAGTGCTATAAAGTTTCACACCCGCCTTCTGTTGCCTGACTTCAGTTGTGCAACTGTGCACCTGTAGCCAAGTGCAAAACAGTGGATAGTTTTCTTATTAAATATGCATGCCCCTGAGCCTCCACTAATGTGGTGGTTTAAAAGTGCATATTAATCAGAGATAAAAACCTTAGGATGTGATGCCGCTGCATTTTTAATCATGGCTGTTTCCAAAGTGCACATAGACACAATAATTAGCAATTAAATACCAATGAAAACCTGAGGCTACAGTACGGAATATTTAATGCAAATCATTGATTTCTTAATCATTTTCATCTCCTTTTTTCCTAATTTAAGTTGTCATTCATATAGAGTTCATGTAGAGCATCTCATATTGCTCCATGAGACTGTCTGTGTGAAAATCCTGTCTCATTATGAGACAAGACAACAATAAGTCGGGAAGCATAATCTAAAATCCTTGAGGAATAATTATCAACACATACTCATCTTGCACTGCTAATTCCTAAGGTGTACTCCCTGTTCATTTTAAGAGTTCTATGATTTTATACCAATTAGAAAACCTGTACCCTTCTGCTGAAGAAATAGCAGGATGAGAGTTTCCGTTAATAGCGACAAAATGAACAGAGCAAGTGGGTCACACCTCGCAATCGGAGACATAAACAACAAGCAAAATCAAAATAAGTATGCAAATCTGCTCTGAGAGAATATACTCTGTGTAAAGTAGAAAGAGTGTGCACATGCATGCGTGTGCGAGTGTGCGGAATAAAAGTTACTTGGGCTTATTTTTGAGAAGCTTTTTAGGGGATCACAGACAGACTGTTTTGTTAGTTTTGCATATGTGTGTTCAGGCACAAATGTGTGTGTGGGTGTAGGTGCGCATGCATGTGTGTAGCTTTAAGTGGTAGTTGTGGCAGTAGGAGAAAAAGATTGCAAAGAGTCTGCTTTGAAGACAAAAGGCAGAACCAAGCAGAGGTAAATAATTGTGCCTCCAGTTGCAGCGCTAACGGCCCTATATTGCGATCAAAGCACAAACATATGTTGCACTGAGGAAGTGAGGCACACACATGCATGTGCATACAAAGTCTGCTCAGTCATATACACTACAAAATGGAAATTATCTCAGCGTCTTGCCAAATTTACACCTTTTAGCAGTGGGCGATATTTTCTAATGACGTTTTACATCAAGCTTTCCTCCCATTAAAAAGCCTTCTAGAACAATAATCCCTCCTGCAGCACTTAAGATAATAATGCAGCATGAAACCTGCAGACCCTTACACATATGTACAGTAAACATACACGATTGGAACTACTTATAGACTAATCCACTCATCTGGAAGACCATGACCAATCCAAAAAAGCTTCATCCTTGATTTAGGAAGAAAAATGGTAGGAGAACCAGAGATAATTTGGCGTGTCAAACTGCAAGAGCCAAGCTTTTAATATTATGGAAATGTGGAGAATGTGCACCAGGTTTATATGTGCCTTTATCTCCTATTCTTATAAACAAAATTTAGCTGGTTATTATATATATTTTTAAAAATATTTTATTAATACTTAATATCCAATAATAATCAATAGTGACACAAATGGGATCAGATCAGACTCAAACCCTTGGCCGCTGCAGCAAGGACTGGGCCTTGGTACATGGGCTCTACTAGGTGAGCTATCTGAACACCCTGGTTATAGTTTTTTTCCTTGAACACATCTATGCAGAAATATTCAGTTATAGTCATAGCGCCACCTACTGGCAACACAAAATCATGTGTTTCATACTTTCATGTACTACTCATAGCAGGTTGATCAGAAGACTCTTAAGACATTGATGATGATATGTTATGAATCTTGTGAATATTTGCTGAAAGCTGTTGCTGTGGCAACAAGGTAAATGTTGATGTTAACTTTTTACAGTTGATGACAGTTTTAGTAGGCTAAACATCCTCCCAACCTCGTGAAACTTGGCACACATGTCACAAGTGACATAATTTCACTTCTGATATTGGTCTTGTGCATGGGTGTGGCAAAATGGCTCCATAGCGACCCCTAGAAGATTCCAACAAAGCAGCCCCGGCGGCATGTTTCAACTAGATATGAAAATTGGTAGGCAAACGTTTCATGTCCAGACGAACAAAAAAGCCTCTTGGACCTGTGTGCTAACTCAGTACAGAGTCGGTGGTTTTTAATTTCGTGGTAATTGGCAATTTGCACATGTTGTATTTTAACTAAGTCCTCCTAGAGAATTGATTTGATCAACTACAAATTTAGTCAGTGCAATCTAAAGACCATTACAATTAAAAGTTGTGCTCTTTGTTACTGAGCGTTAAATGGCGTGTCCAAGGCTTGGTGTTGAATTTAGATGTTTTTCCAGGTAGCAGGAATGTAACTTCAGTATACATTATCAAGTCTGCGCCAAACTTCACATGTTTGATAAGGGTCCTGCCCTAAACACATACACACACATGCCAAACTGGAAACAGGAAGTAAGCCACATATGGCAATCATCTGAAATTTGTCTTTCACATGACAGGCGGGGCGCGAGGGCCCCCTTCCCCCCCTTAATTTTTGTTTTTCCCCCAAAAATATAAAAAAAAACCCCCCAAAAAAATTAAAAAAAAAAAAAAAAAAAAAAAAACTTTTTTTTATATCTATTTGTGTAGCAGGCGGTAGAATTGACATGGGTGTTCTGTTTCTCTATTTGTTAATCAGAATAAACAGAGGTCAACCGTGAAAAGATCCTGGGGTTAATGGTGTCTCTCTATCACAACAACCCAATGCAGAAGCCCACCAGTTACATATGTACACAGTAGCTATGTTAGGATACATGTCTGAAATGCAGAGTAATACGGAAAAAAAAAAAAGTGTAGAGTGTAAATATTCAGTGAGATGTGCCCCTGTCAGTCTGCACGAGGGAATGTGTCTATCTTATGATGAAATGTGACGCAGTTGTTTAAAATTGTAACCAGTCAAAAACAACACAGAGGAGAAGTGGGAACAGGATGAAAAACATAGTTGATCACACGGCTCAGAACAGGATATGCAGCAAAATGGGGAGCTCGCATATGACGTCTGTGGACTTTCAACAAGTCTGTTCAACAGGCTTGGGGTTGTGTGTGTGTTTTTAACTGTAACCCAATTTAAGAACAGAAAGTATCTGCCTCTTATCAGCTTTACGTCTCCGGTAAAATGCTCTGGTTGCATTGAAAGGGGGTGGGTGAATGCTTGAGCTATTGTGTAGATATGAAAACAGCACTTACACCTAAGGTTTATTGCATTGGAAAGAGCTGTAGGCCTTGGTCTAGATAGAAATCAATACCATTACAACAGAAGAAGCTAGTGGTGAGACACCATGTGCTAGTAGAGTAAATAAATATTCCACAGTTTTCAGATTCAGTAAATAACTAACTATAACTATATTACGATAATTTCTTGACGTGGTTAAAGCAAATAATAATTGGTCAATACCTATGGGTACTGTTTGATGATAAAGGCTGGAATGCAACATGAGATTGAATTCTTGCTTACAACCTTGTCTTGTGTAATGATAATACATTTCCTGAAATCTTAAAATTCATTATAATATGTTTCTAAAACCTATGTTTGTCAATTGTTGTATCAGCAGTGTAAAAAGATGCAGTTTGCTTGGTTGCTAAACACGCAAGGTTACAAGAAAACTTGTTTACTCTTGGCCAATACTGGGTATCTCTCTCTCTCTCTCTCTCTCTCTCTCTCTCTCTCTATATATATATATATATATATATATATATATATATGTGTGTGTGTGTGTGTGTGTGTGTATTTGTGTTTGTAATATTTACGAACTTACAGAAGGTGTTCAGCACATTCACAAGCCAAACAGTTGAGGAGACAAAAGTAAAGCCCAGATAATTAAGTCCAGTCAAAAAAACATTGCAAGTCAGTCTGCAGACTGTTTGATGTTCATACTATATATTTTGCCAAAGGTACCAAAGGTACATGACTTCAAAGCCAACAATTTGATTAAACTTATTTTTATCTCACACTGCAGGAGCATTTGAGGGTAACTTTTTTGTTGGTTTGTTGCAATGTTATTCCAAGTTGGCTTCACATAGGAGATTTAAAATGAGGAGAATCATGACAAATGCAACAAGCAGAATTAAATCACTCATAATCAGGGCATTGTACACTTCTGAGGTCTAATGCAAATATAATCAAAATCTTCTAACTTTGATGTTGGGGTAATTCCCTCTCACCTAAAGAGGTCTTCTCACTAATCAACGTAACAATGTTGACATGACGCAGTAAAGCTTCAATTACAGAATGATTACTGCGTACCTCACAGAGGAATCAGGTGGAAAACAAAATTTGCAAGTAAACTTCAATCATTTTGTAGAATGCTTGTTATTGAACAAAACAAAATGTTTCCTTGCAAAA